GCAGTCTTAACTCCAAAAGCTAGATGGTTGTTTTGAAACAAACCATGATGAGTTTTGATAGTAAGCAGCTCTTTTGATACTTCATCCACTTCCACTTGCAAATAAGTATCAACTAGATCGAGCTTTGCGGAAAACTTTCCCGCCATTCAGCATAGTAAACAGATCAGCTGGGACTGGCAGAGGATAATTATGCTGTTCCAGAGCTGCATTAAATCCTGTAGAAAAGTTAGCACATATACGTATTGTGCCCTTGACCTTCTTGATAATAACTGTAGGTGCTGCCAAAGCAGAGTAAGAAACGGATTAAATAACTCCTTGTTGTTAAATGCGATTCAGTTCTTCATCTGCTGTTGGTAGGTGTGCATAAGGCACGGGTCTCTTTGTACGTAAAACAGGCTTAGACCCAAGTTTCAACCGAAGTATCGCTTCCATGGCAGAATATTTCCTGTTCTCTGTAGAATCCAATTAGAAGGCTTTGTTTTGGGAAAATCCCTCCATGTACATATTTGTAATATGTTTCTACTGACTCTTTCTGTGCTAAATTTCGGTACTGTATTTAATTCAATTTCGTGATGTCAATATTTGTATTTTTTTATAGTTTCTATTTTTTGTACCTTTATTGGCGTTTCTGTGTTTTCTACTGAACTGTATTATGCTGTTTAAAATTGATACTTATTCATGGCATCAGCTATATCGAATGGGACACCCTGGCCGGTGAAGTTTGAATCTGGATAGGAAGGGTGCAATTTTGTGCTTATACGGAAGCATTCTTCCAGAATTGGAAACACACTGTGTTAAAGAACAGTGTAATACTGTTTAGGTAATGGTTTATGAAATTTAATTAGTAATAGAACCGTTTCTTACCCAGATAAATTTCTTTTTTGTCGGATTAACTGGGAAAGGCCCATATCTGACTTCTTTCACTGTTTCTAATTCAGAAACCACTGGAAAACCCCAACATTTTCCTCCTCGCCCCTTTCCCTTTATTTCTCTTGTTCACCAAATTATTCTAATCCTTAAATATTAGTCTGGATATTTGCCGAAGACTTGGATAATTTACTCAGGAGCCTGTAAATTTATTAGCTAACGAATGTCTACTAGATCGTAGCACATTTAGCACATCGATTCTTGTTATATGCATACCTGGATCTAACTTGGATTGTTTTACAGTCAGTAGCAGTTCGTCGTAACTTGCGCCAATTATTCTCAGTGTATGTTGCAGATTCTGAAAAACTATCGATAATATTATGTGGAAAATGTTAACCATCTATATGAAGCCAATTGATCTTATGAAGTATTTCAGTGACTGGCTAACCTTATGGACGTTGTTAGAGGTTTTCTCCAAGTTAGCAGTTTATTTAGCACGTCATCCTTAATCTCCCACATAATCTTCCCACTGCCTTCAGAATTCTAAAGCTGATATGTTCAGCGAATATATTTCTTTCACACAGCTGGTATAGCAAGTCATAGCAGTAGATGCTTAGTGATGTTTCTTTGGCTCGTATATCAAACCTCACAAATTAAACTGTGCGAAATACCGAGTTGAACTACGCATCTCTCTTGTAACATGTTTGTTATCTGAGAATAAATTATTATTATTATTATTCAACAAATACTAAGGCAAACTAAATTGTTAGGATTTGTGCACGTGACACATGTCAGTGGACATACACATGTTATAAAATAGCTGCAGGTGAAGGCACACCCGTGCACAGAGTTTTTCTACAAGCAAACTCTATCAACAGAAAAAAACAATCTCGCATTTATTCATTCCATTTACAGGGCCTCAGTGTACGACAGTAACACATTCTACTAACCGCTGACACATCAACATTTCAAGCAAAACCTGGCAATACTAAAGTAAGTTTTATTGGTGTAAATTTCGGTGCATCTTCAAATGTGTTCCTACAAAAATTGAGTAAAGGTTAGTATAGTTAGAGAATACTGTTTTGCGGATTCACCGGAAGTTAGTATGTAAGCGCTCAGGCACAAGAGTTCCCATGCTCATTTTGAACGCAGTATTGGATGAGTTTTAGCTATGTTTTCTCGGTCGTCAGCAGGGGAGGGGAGAAGATGGTTAATCTTTGATAATCTGACGCATATGATTCGGAATTGGGATTCTCGAAATTAAAGAAATCAAAGTGCAATTGTAAGAATTTCGGGAGTGATAATCATCGTAAATGCTTGAGGTCAATAAATAGTTTGAATAATTCATGGTCTGTAAAAACACTAAAAGTACGCAGAAGCCTAATTTAGTAGACACATACGAATTTCACGAAGACCTATGCAAAACAGACTCTGGGTTTCAGGGAAACCGTAAAATTTGAAAACTGAAGACAGGTACAGCATAACTTGATGTCATGCTGTTTGACACAAATTATACATAATATTTCATTAGATCCAGGGATTCTAGTCTAATACAAATCAATAACTTCTTATGAGACTATTCTCTTAGCCTGCTCTTAGCCCGGACACCACTATTATACTACACGAAGTTCGTAATCTTATTTAAGCGAGACATTTCTGCAAAAAACAGTGCAGGTTTCTGCAGTAACCTGCATAGCACCGCTATCATCCAATAGAAAACATCCAGTCGCTTCGTTTCACAATCTGGGTATTACTCACAACATATTATCAACCAAAATAATGGTCAAAGATTGACAGCTGTGAACAGATGAAACGAGCACAAACAACCTCAACACTATGAAAAAGCTCAAGGAAGTTAAGAGTTAGATGACGCCTTCGTCAGTAACGCCTTTCCAAGCAAGAGTTCCGAAATCTAATCAAACAAGGAGCCATGACTTAAAGGGTTTGAAGATATATTTCGAGGTGGGTGGAATATCCATAATCTGCTAGTTGTAGAAAATGCATGGAAACCACGATATAAAAAATGGTGATCCAGTGCGTATACATGGCTAAGAGCCTTTAGCTAGGTTTTGTCTCGCTGAGCTCCGTGGTCTGACGTAATGGCAGATGGACAGAGAAAATTTGCTACGCATCATTTGACTATAGCGCAGACTACTTTTGCAGAAGTTGTAACTCTCATAAGCACTGCTTCTGGCTATCGCGTGAAACAATCCACATACATCAAGATGTAGGAGACTCCGTTTGAACTCAATGGAGGTCTTGCTGTCTGAAGGTGAACGTGGTGTGCCAGGAGTTGTGAAGGTGTATAAAGGACATTTATTACGTCTTAACACCTTGAATTTACTAAAGATCGAACAAGAGCGAGATACGCTTTTGTTCGTAGCCTAATGGTGATATGTTGAGCTTCGTATCCTGTTAAGACGCTTAGATTAGGATGCAACCTTCTCTGTCGCTGCGGAAAGTGAGCCGAAATTGGCCGCTATTTCAGCTGTGATGCCGGTCATTGTTAAGACTATTGAGAAGGTTGCGAATCAGAGTCTGCATTTACATGAACTACCAAAACGGTTTGAGTACGGTAACAACCAATCGATTCTATAAGCAAGTGATGAAATTTTTGATATTAGATTTTGATAAACTGACGAGTGATAGTTCTTTTCAAAGCGCTACTACTTCGTAATGCAATTTAGATGTTCTCTTATACCCTTTCCTCCTATCAACAAATTATCTATCTACATGCTTACGTAGGCTGTCACTATAGCAATTTAGGATTCACCGCTGTCAGTAAATTTGTGCAACTATTTTAGCTGTACTGATCAAAAGAAAGGGTTGTTTGTCAATCGCCAATTACATCTGGAAATCACTATTAACTCATCTAATTTAAACCGCCTTACAGTAAATGATCTGATTTATTCATACATTACAATGTAGATAATGCAACTGAATAACAATGCCATTATCTAATTATTCACCAATCGCAATCATTAAAATAATAATTTGTTTGTATTTCTGTTTGCACATTACTTCTAAATATTTTCAGCCAATAATCAATTAAGGATTACATAGAAAATAATTTTGTCTTATTATATTCAGACAGATAGTTGTTGTTAACGTGAAAGAATTGAACCAACGTAAATATTGCCCTCATTAGTAAGAAAATTAGTGTATTTTGTCCTACTTATGAATTAACAGAATCAGTAAATTTACATTGAAACACTGGATTAGTTGCAGTTGGCACAAAAATATAATTCATGGCACATGAAAGGATGAAACTGTAATCATGAGAATTTCTGAAACTACAAGTATGTTTAATTTATTGATTGCTTCTCTTTCACTAACCTTTATTTTCACACCGGTAATCAGTGTTTATATTTGTCAAATATAAATCCAAATTTAATTATGTGTTATTTACCATTTGAATAGAAATTAAATATTTATACCAAAGAATCGATTGGAGGTAAATTCATCATTATTGGTGGATGCAATATTCCTGGAAGTTACAATAAAATAGAAGGACCTTTGTTTGCATTAATGTTCTCACATGCTGCTGATTTTCCAGATACTGTTAGTGAAATTCACTAATTCATTTACTAGAAGCTTCAATCTAATGTATTATTGATTTCATAGTTTAAGTGCCCTCGAAAATCTTTAGGACATGTAGAAACATCCACACAAACCCATGGACTGTGGATTATTTCTAGCTACTAAAAAATAAATGTAACTTTGCCAATATCAGTTGGTTTTATGGACAGTGAGCATCATCTAGAAGCTATTTTGTAAGAATCATTTACATCTATGTTTAGCTTTCTCATTTTGATAATCTTTTCTAAACACTGCTTGATAATGTATTTTTCTTCAACAGTTCCAGTAAATACGGTAATTAGAAAGAACTGGATAAAGTATCTCACGAATTCCATTTCTATTTGAAGACTATTATGCGTATAGCTGTACTGACAGTTAAATGTGCACTCCTAATAAGTATAAGCATCATAGTGGTGACATTTATACTTTCATTCAAGAGAGAAGAACCATTCGGCTTATCACTAACTGATAAGTTCTCGCACAGTGTATTACTACATGACGGTCATTCAATTCAAACAGTTTACTTCAATGAAGCACGTTATATATCATCTCAAATGAGGAAGCATGAAAACAAAATTACACTCGGTTTTACTGAAAAAGATCTTGAAAAACTATATCAAGCAAAACCTATTCCAACTCGTGTAAGTTTCTATTAATGACTTTCTCCTACTTAATATTAATAGTAGTTCATCCAGTTGACAGGATTACTCAATTTTTCCTTCATCTTGTTTTATATTCATTTTGGACTATCTTTTATTAAACAATAAAAACAATTCAATGACTATCTCCTTGTTTCGGAATATTTTTACGTAATTATCATACTGAAATCACACATGTTGTGCTGATTTTCTTGTAGGGCAGCCGGAAGTATTACTTTCAAAAGATTTCTGTCCTTCTCATTAATCAGACCAAGGCTCGATTTCAAACAAACTAGAACTATGTTAACAACGAATAATATTTTGTCAGTTAGTATTAAAGTGAGTTGACATCACAGCTTCACTTGTCAAGTTACCGTCACGTATTATTGAAACTATTCAATATTATTGGCTTTGGTAAAGCTACTAAGCTTCAGTAAGCATTTAAGTTCTCATATTTCATGTTGAAACCGGTGTTAACAAAAATAGTTTCCAGAAGCTTACTAAAACTTCCCGAAGGTCTGTTCAACGGAAGTAATCCATATTTATAGCAGTTTGCTGAAGTCTATTAGCACAATAAATTGTGAGTGCAAAATTTAATTTAATTTAATTTGTCGTCACGTTGTACAATTGTCGGTACTATTCAAAAGATGTTGTCAATCATAAGACTATGGATTTTTAGTAATCTAGTCAACTTTGGATGTCTGTGTATGCTGATATGACTAGTAGTGCAATGTTTCCTAAAACAAGTTTTGGGTTGAATGCAATTGTAAGTATAACAATAAAAATAAATACAATTAACGAAAGTTGATAACAATAATCAAAGGATTACGATAAAATCTATCGAAACTTAGATTTATATATTCAAACAATTGTATTGAATAATTCTAAAAAACACTGGGATTATAATTCTGTAAAGAGACAATGTGCGTCTGTGAATCGTGTGTTATCTGTCTTTCGAAAGAAAATACGTTTTACACTGAACAGTAATGCTATGCATTTAAACAGCTTTCGAAGAACTAATATTTTGTTTACCAAATCTCACATGTTTTAATTGTTGAGTTAATATTTTAGGAAATAAGGTCCACATACTTTCTATTGCGGTCAGATATGCACAAAAGTATACACCAAAGCATCCATTTATATTGTCCAGGTCTCACCTGATTAATCAAAATATTTCTATCCGTGATTTCTATCTACAGAAAAAGATAATCCTTAACTATGGAAGCCTTTCAATTTCTAACTCCCACAACTTTTCCTTCTGTTACGCTTCTGACTGTGAACTTACTTTCAACAAATCACGATGGAGTGAAGCCGATGTTGTCATCTTGACAGATCAACGGTATCCTGTAGGTCCAAGACCACCAAATCAATTATGGTTCGTTTTCGTACATGAACCTCCCCCAATTATCAAAATTGCCAACGGACTGGAAAATAAAGTGAGCGTATTATTTACAATCTATTATAGGTATATATATGTATTTAAACAATAGCGAAAATTTCTGGTTTCGTCAGTTATAGACAAACAGGCGAACAGTTCTAAAATATTCCTTGATTCCTATTACGTAGAATTCACTGACGAATTCATTAAAAGTAATGTTAGACTAAAGATTCTAATATAGTCTTAAGTGTAAAGTTGTTTGTTGTTGTTTTTAGCACGAAAAATAATAAACAGTTTGCTTCGAACAATAGCTCACTACTCAGTAGTCTCCAGTTGTGTTCACCAGAAATGTCAGCACGATAGTTCGTTGTTAGATTTCCCTCAGTTGTGAATCAATTAGTTCGATAATTTCGATCAACTACTTTGTGTTTAAGGGTCTCGTGCGATTAGAACTTGATTCTTTCAAACAATATGAACAATCGATTTGTCACCTTGAATTAGTAAAAATATATTTGTTTGATGTAAGATAACTTGTTAATTGTGAAAACCATCACGTTTTCACTAATTATTGCACTCACTGAAATGAAATGACACAATTCAACTTCAGTCTATTTATGCAGAAATTATGTCAAACAGAAAGAGAAATCTCATATCCAATGAGCAACTATGAATTGTGTAATTCGAATCTGCAATAGCTAGGCAGTTTATCACACACATCTAGATCCTGGATCACTATCTGGCTAGTACAACATACAATTATAACCATTGGGAATGTGAATTCAAAAGTGGATGAAATAATTTAGGTGAAATGCGGATTCAACTTCAATTGTAAACTGAGTAACTCAAAGTTATCTGTCTGTGTGGACTTCAGCTGATGGCCATTCAAATAAACAGTATTATGTTGAGAATATTTTCAGTATTATCAGGTTCTTTATAGTCATTCAAATGAACGTAAAATCATCTATGCATTTGCATATGAATCAGCATAAATTATTTGGCAAACATTAGGTACTACTCACTGACGCAAGCGAATTTACGCCCTAAATAACCTTCATGAAACAACACTCTTACAGTCTGATAAGATACCTCATTTTGATGGGACTTTATATTTTCCAAAAAATATTAAAAAAGATGCGACTACACGTGGTAATACTTTCCGAAGTGGCTCGGTAATGTGATTCATCATATATACTGTTTATAAGGCATATTCTAATGTCACCATTTTTTTCTTCAGGTCAACTACACAATCACTTATCGAATGGATTCAACTATTTATTTTCCGTATCGGAGTTACGTCCCATTAAATGCTAGTCATGGTCCAGATACAAAATATAAACTTCCTTCACGTAACTATGCCACTGGTAAATCTAAAATGGCAGCATGGTTTGTAAGCAACTGTAAAGCTACAAGTCCGAGACAAATTTATGTCAAAGAATTATCTCGTTATATTGAGGTGAGAACCAGCGTTATATAGCCTCCAATTTCATTTCTTTTAGTTGCTTGAACTGGTTCCGTTGTGTAATAGGTTCAATTGATAACACAGCTTATGTCATGGTGGAGAAGATATGTAGCTCAGGTGGTTGATTGTTTATGTCCAATATGAAATATCATAGATGTCATATTTTAAGTCAGCACTTTGAGCGAATCAATTTAGAGAATAGTTTGGATATAAATTTGTCTCGTCAGCTAAATTTCAGATCATACAGACTTACGTGTCACATGTATGTAAAAATGTCAATTGCGTGAAAGTTAGTAATCAGTCATCAGCGTAGTTATTGAAATGACGTGTGACACATTTACTACTGAAATAAGAATTAAAACTTTGTGAATTTTAGACAAAAACAAGCTTAGGTGGGTGTGCGTCTATCGAAGTCGATTTGTTATAGACTCTCTTAATATATCATTAAACCTTGAACCTACTGATAATGTGTATGCACTAAAAACTGGACACAAGTATTTGCTAAAAGTACTTCGAAGAAGATGAAACATTTGTTTTTGTGTTTTGTGACTTTGTCAACTCAAAGAGTATTTGTTCACTTGATTTGGGATTTTCCATAACTTTCATATATCACCTTTTCTGTTTAATGAACCTTGAGATGAATAACTTATACGTCATGAAGATAGCTCTACTTAAGTGACTATTGTGCCTAAATTTTCACTTCCAGTATGGATTATCATGGAGTGGATGTGTTGAAAATTACGGTGACTTTGTTCACGTTTGCAAATTATTTTATATATGGTTAAAATCTACAGTAACACCGAAAAGTATTGAACTAGTCTTTTTTATGTAATGTTAGTGTATTCAAGCAGATGTGGATCGTTCGAAGCAAAGAAGAACAATGCACTAAGAGACACAATCAATTCAAGTCAGTACTCAGTTGAATGTTTTGGATGATAACAAAAACACGTATTTGAGATGTGATACATTGGTCTGCTTAGCCCAAATGATATCATATGTTTTTTAAATTTCTTAAAATAATAAATGACGGCATATTTTTGTTTGAAAAAAATTGTGGAGTGAGACTGTTGTATTCAAGCTTTAGTCTTTGTCAATACTATATGTATTCCTGCAAGTGCAATAACTCATATGTTTGTAGGATATAAGGTTTTGATAAATATCAATGTATACCTACAAATCTTTAGTCGATGTTCCAGATACTTGTGTGCTTTGTTCTGCTGACAATCAATAACAGTACAGTTTTAAATTTCCACTACACATCTCATAACAAGATAACTTATATGAGTAAAAGCGTTCATGTTCACAAACACCATCTGAGCTTTGTATCACAAACACTTTCTTGCTTGTTCACAATGAGAAATACCATGTTTACTGAGAAATATTTGATTTGCATGAGTAATCAGCATTTATCTAACTAATTACCAATATGTATATATATTGATCAATAAATTGGTATACAAATGGTCAGTTTCTAAATCAAGCTCCTCAGTTTCAACTATTTTCACGCAACTTTATTCGTTATTGTTGTCGACCGTTCTCTCTTCATACAGTCTACCGTCCGCTTGCAAAGTGATTCTGTACAGTTCGTAAATGCTAGTTTTTAATGCCTGAGTAACAACCTGTCAATCTGTTTTTAAAAAAATATCATAGGTTGATGTTTATGGTGCTTGTGGCACTATGAATTGCTCTAAGAACTCCGAAGCTGAATGTTTTGCTCTACTCAAAAGTCAGTATAAATTCTACTTGAGTTTTGAAAACAGCTTATGTCCTGATTATATTACAGAAAAGTTTTTCATCAACGCATTGAGGTACGTGAACATATCATATTGTTGCCCATTGTTTTATTCTTGTTTACTATACTTCAGTTGATAGCTAAATTGCGTTTTCTCTATACCTTTGTTATTGCATTCGCTGATCATAGTTGATCATCGACTGATTTTCCACCACATCTTGAAGTTCAAAGCTACGTAGAACTAGAGTGAATTCCTCTGAAGATTTACTACCTGGATGAATGTATTTTATAGATTGTAAGGTTGATTTGGTTGATAATATGAGGAACCCTTGTTACTCAATGACAGAGGTGACGTCTAGTAAGCTCAAATAAGGCAAACTGTGTTTTTATTTAACTGTTAAACGTAATATATACATCTTTGGTTCTTATAAAATAGATCTTGGTGGTCGAGATAAATTATCTGTAGTAGTCAACTGACCTTCTCACGTTTATTTGCAAAGTCAACACCTCAAAAACGCAGTCACTTACTGTATTTGGTTGATTTGATTTACGCAGTAACAACGCTGTTCCAGTGGTGATGGGTGCATCAATCGAAGAATACAAGCGTGTTGCTCCTTCTCATTCGTTTATTCATGTGGATCAGTTTCAGTCGCCAGCAGAACTCGCTAAATATTTGAAGTATCTGGATAGAAATGAAACCGCATATAATGAATACTTCTCATGGCGTGATCATGGAATTATAAATGCTTGGACGCCAAAGCCCCAGTGCGTTATATGCCTATTAGCCCATACTGCTGATATACTGGAACCATATACATTCCCGAACGTTTCAAAATGGTGGAATGATGCTTGTATCAACCGTAAGCTGCGCTGGAATTCGCCAAGTTGACACTTTTTACATCATCCATTCAAAACAGTTTTGATTGGTATTCACATCACACGTAGCAATGGTTATGGCTGTTTCTAATCTAAACAAATTACAATTTCAATAGTTTGTTACTCTCTTCATGGCTTCCCTATATCTGTTTGTGTGGATACATCAGACGAAGTGGCCGCTGTTTGTTCTTATTTCAAGTTAACTTTCCCTACAACGACAATTTAACAATACTTGATAATACATAAATTACCATAAAATCATTTCAATCGTAAGATCTGTCTGTCAATTTACTTCCAATATCCAATATATCCAATATCTATTTCACGAGCTAGTGTAAACCGATTTGATTTCTTCGCGCTCGATTCTTGTTCTTTCGTTACGGTTCCGGGTGTTCGGTAAAGTCCAACAGTTGGAGGTGTAGCCACTCGACTGTCTAATTCTAGTCAGTTGGCAGTTAATTGTGAGTTTGTATGTCTCGGGATTTGAATGAAAACGTTTGGTTCAGGGCAGTATGGTTTCTGGATACTAGCAGCCGTCACATTACCAGACAGGAGATCAGTTAGTTGCAATGTGCCTTGGCTGAATCCCCTACATAGTTTGGGCTGGTGTTGAGGCTTTCTGTGGTTATTAAACCGAGATCGCGCTCTGAGGAGACATTAGGGAGCGGACTTCTATTGAGGTTGTAGGTCGTTTGCGTTATATGAGGCAGGAAATGCATGACGTGGCACTTCAGTTGGTTGAATTTCATACCGTTTTTCACTGCGCATTTCTCAATAGATGTAAGGTCTTTTTGAAGCTCAGCCGAATTCTCTTCGCTTCTAATGGACCTCTAGATCTTCGCATCGTCTGCGTAGATCAATGCCGGTGAGCGAACTGAGCCTAGCATGTCGTTAATAAATATCAGGAAGAGAAGTGGGCCTAGGATGGTCCCCTGTGAAACTCCTGAAGTGGATACTCGCCAACTCGCGTGCAATCTGTTTACCTTGGTGCGAAACTTTCTATTCTCAAGGTAGTTTCTGAGCCAAGATAGGAGTGGGTCAGTGAAGCCCATTTCCACAACCTTTTCGATTAGGCGTGCGTGGGGTACTGTGTCAAAGTCTTTTGCAAAGTCGAGAAATATTACGTGCACCGGTATTTTACGGTCCAAACAGGATGTCCAACTGTCCCATGCGATGAGAAGATTAGATACCCACGACCTGCCTTTCCGAAATCCATGTTGAGCTTCATGGAGTATTTTATTTTTATCCATGTACTTCCTCATTTGTTCGTCCACCAGCCCTTCCACAACCTTTGATAATATTAGTAGTAGTGCTACTGGTGTGTAACAGGCTGGGTCCTTTCGATCTCCTCCTTTGCAGATTGGAGAGAGAGTGGCTTGTTCCCATTCAGCTAGCAGTTGGTGTGACTCCAGTGAATGCCTGAATAGGTTGCATAACGGTGAACAGAGGACTTCAGCACATTGTTGTAAGACTATAGGGCGGATTTTGTCAAAACCTGGTGACTTACCTGGGTGTAAGGATTTTGGTTTCCTTAGTACTAGGTCAGGAGTGATACGGATGTTCCCTGAGCCATCATCTGGCGATGGGTAGGCGTAATACTCTAAACATGTAGTCACCTGGTTTAATTGATCAGAAAAATGGGTGTTAAAGATCTCTGCCATCTCTAGGTTGGTGAGGTCTTCCCCGTTTTTTCCTTTTAGAGAACACAACCCTTGATTAGTAGGTTATCTTTTCGACATGAACCTAAACAGATTTTTCAGGTTTGCCTCTATTTTGGCGGCTAGCTTCATCTGAAATCGTCTCCTGTCGCTTCGAAACTTGGTGTTGCATCCGTTTCTCAAAGCCAAGTAAGAACTGCGATCGGTATCCTTCAAGGAGACCTTCCACTTGTGCCAGGCTCTCCTCTTCGCCTGTAGCAAGCGTTCAGTGCCGCGCCTAATCCAAGTTCTTCCATTCCCGCGTTTTTGGTGTGACTGAGGTACATTTTCTACTTCGAATATATCCTTTGCGGAAACTGAAATTTCTATTCAGAAATCTTGTAGAAACAAAAACATGTTTCATACAAAGTCGATGCTTCGCTCACAAACTCTACCATCAAAATGGTATTAGGTTTTTCCGATGGATTGTGAGAAAAAACTGAAACGACTGATTACTATAGCGACTTACTCTTTGCAAGAGGAAATTCAGTCCGTTATCTTAATAACAAATGCGTTTACGTTTCGATACAGTGGAAGAAACAATGAAACAAGACGTTCAGAATATATATTGAATTTATGTGGATTGCAGGGTAATCAACTTTACAAATGGGATATATATATATATATATATACCTGCATCGTCTTAAATAATTAATAAACTTGATTGGAGCTCTGCCGCTAGCAAGAAATCTTTGAATGGGGGGACTTATATCTATAAAACACGGTAAGAAGAAGTGTTGTCTCAGACTATGTTGTAGAGCATAAAACCAAGGATTCTATCGAAAGAACATGTGTAGTGCGGCAGAAATCCTCATAAATCCGTCGTCAGAGGAACCTTTGGGTCATATAAGTATAAGGGTCTCAATTGAAACTCCATAATTACAATGAGTATAAAATAAATCCGTTAACGAAGACCATTGGGACAGCAGAAATGACGAATGCAGCCAAAGTTAAAACAGCCACAAAGAGTAAAATAATTTTGGTGCGGTGAGAAGCCAGAATTATAATCAAGGTTGTGTGGTGGCATTCGTTTTCAAAATCACGATAACTGCAGACGGCTACAGCTTTAAGAGAATTGCCCTGTGCAGTACGTTAGAGTTAGCTGATAGACAATGCATCGCTTGACAATAAACAAGGAATATGTGATACGAGATAAATTCCTACTAAAATGTAAACAATAACTTTCGTAAATATAATCCTTCGATAAAATATTTTAATCAGTGTATTCGTTGCCGTAAGACGAAACATTTTATATGTGGGTAAAACCAGATTTAATTCAACAAACTCTCTTATACACGAAGACTGAACAATGCTTCGATACCTAATAATGACTAGAATGGATATCTGGAATCCCTTTCAAAAAAGAACATGATTGAGGAGAGAATATTTTCAAATCAAGACTAGAATTTTTGCAAAATATCTTAAACGCACAATGAGAGTACCATAAAGCCAATTCTTAGAAGTTTCAAGATTTGATTACCAGATATCCATCTCGTCAATAATAATGGCTTCTGAACATAGTCGTTTAACAAAATGTTCAACATTTGATTTAGACTCACGGTTTGACCTAAGAACAACACACAACAGCAAACAATATTGCTTTTTCATTACAGAACCTGTGATCACTGAAGTTCAGCTGTGTCGATGATAATCTGTTACTTAATAGAAACAATGAGCAGGGTGCTCAGTATGTTAGACATTAACAGCGTTCGATGAAGTCTTAATGGTCCAGAGTTTAGGCATTCAAGCCCAAGACTCTCTTAAGTAAGCCAAATGCCCCGTCATCCAATTGATTACTACGTGACATAAATGGAGCCTTTTGGGAATTTAGATGACGGGTACCATTTCGTGGTCACAGGAAGCAACGTTATGTTGTTCACAGCGATAAGACTAAATGTCGTTCCGATTCGCTAAATATATATTGCGCAGCATGGTTTAGAATATCAGTACATTTTTATGGTCGAGAGGCTGTAAATGTGGATTTGCTACACTAATGTATTAGGTCTGAACGCTTCTAAATCAATATCCCGTAAATCGACAGAACGGTTTCAGGACATGTCCTCTGGCAGTACTGTTGCATCAAATACCTTTAAGTCGGGTATAGTCGTCTAGCTTACTTAAAGCGGAAAGCACCAGTACAGATTCTGAACTAAGGACGTCCGTTCCTATGTGACTACACGGAACACCATATGCCTCAGTGTAGGCTAGGCTTATTAGATCTGGTGTTATGGTTCAGCGATGATGATGAATCATGCTTCGAATTTTGGAGAATGGTTTGAATACGATATATAATTATGGTGCAAGTATGAGGATGCTTAAAGATTGTAGACGACCTAATCATTTGTTGGGCGGACGAAGGTGTCAATATCGTCGTCCTGCACCACGATTGCTTTTCCTTACCAGTTTGCATTCCCATGTCCATCATAAACAAAACCATAAACAGAGATTCTTCACAGAAAAAGCTTGAGTCATATACGAATAAGGGTCTATATTGAAGCTTTGTAATTAAAATAAGTCGAATTTATATCCAAAAGTATAATCAACGTTGTGTGATGGCATTTCTTTTCGGGTTCGCGATGTTGGTTAATATGAGGAACTGTGTTTTGCTCAGTGTAGTAATCATTTAATTTTTCAGCCATGTCTGTGATATACTGGTGTTAATGGATTGATAGGTTCGTCTTGCCGTATTGTTAACATTCTTCTCCTTCGTACTTAGCTTTGGTTTATAACATTGTATTCTCGTGTCTGTCTGAAACAAACACATCCAACGGAAATAGTATTTGGCTTTTAATTACCGCCGTCGCACAAACACAGTTCACCTAAGTATGACATAAGGAAATTGAGGGTGAGGTTTATTTCATAGCGTACCTAATTATTCGTGTAAGGGAGTCAAGATGACGAGCGAATAAGGCAATGCGCCATACGTCCAAAAAAACGCACCCCGCAAAAATGAAATTCTAAATCAAAACCACACACTTTCTACACACAAAATTATCTAATCACTTCTGCTAAATTAAAGGACTAGGTTATTTGTAATTTTCTTCTTTCTATGTCAAATTGAATAGAGCTCATCAAATTAAAGAAAATTGAACTGTTGATTGTCAAAAGGTCAAACATTGCATCTCCGAAACATAATAGTCTTGTTTATTGCTGAAGTAATTTAATATGTTCAATTCACATTGGCCATTTTACTAAGTGGTCATAATTCCTAAACATTTCAGAATTTTGAATAAAATGATCTGTTTTTAATGTTGAGCACAATATAATAACTAGGTCGGATATTTAGGATAGAAACCTTTCAGAGTGTGCTTGTTCA